ATGTCATACTGCTTCCATTTCACCATCTATAATTTGATGATTAATAGTATTCATCTATAATGTACTTTTCCTATAAAAGATGCTTTGTTATCACCGAGTATTAACATTACTTCCATTGATTATCAAGGTCCTCCGAGCAAAGACAAACCTTTGCTTTCAGTATCTAACTTCTTTTTATCTTGTACCATATGAAAACCAAAGCCAAATTATTTTCTCTGGCTTGCAGCCTCATGCTGTTTCATCTTTAATAAATGTTCTCATCAAATGTACTTTAATTAAGAGTCTGGTCAAAATGCAAATCCTGGTTTTAATATTCACCAAAAATACTTTTTGTTTTGTTTTGTTTTTTGAGACGGAGTCTCGCTCTGTCGCCCAGGCTGGAGTGCAGTGGCGCGATCTCAGCTCACTGCAAGCTCCGCCTCCCGGGTTCACGCCATTCTCCTGTCTCAGCCTCCCGAGTAGCTGGAACTACAGGCACCCACCACCACGCCAGGCTAATGTTTTGTATTTTCAGTAGAGACGGGATTTCACCGTGTTAGCCAGGATGGTCTCCATCTCCTGACCTCGTGATCCGCTTGCCTCGGCCTCCCAAAGTGGTGGGATTACAGGCGTGAGCCACCACGCCCGGCCAACCCAAAATACTTCTTGAGCATTTAATGTCTTCTAGGCTTTCCACTTGGACTTGGGATTCTAAAAATGAGCACACATTCGAATATAACTGAGAACAAAATGACGCTCTGCTTTTTAAGTAGTAGTAGTAGTAGTAATAATAATAATAATAATAGAGATGAGGTTTTGCTCTATTGACCACGGTGGTATTGAACTCCTGGGCTCAAGTAATCTTCCTGCTTTGGTCCCAAAGTGCTGGAATTACAAGTGTGAGCCACCATGCTCAGGTTACTCTGGCTTTATAAACTTTCATTTACTTTCATTCTTCTTTTGCATTCTGTTGGAAGCATACAAATATTAATTAAATATTTAACCTTAAGGTTTCCCCCAAATTCAGCAATTATGGGCTTCTAGTCAAATATTAGGATGCTTTTAAAAAAAATGCTTATAAAGATATTGACTCAGGCCAGGTGCACTCATGCCTGTAATCCCAGAACTTTGGGAGGCTGAGGCAGGTGGATCACCTGAGGTCAGGAGTTCGAGACCAGCCTGGCCAACATGGTGAAACCTCATCTGTGCTAAAAACACAAAATTAGTCGGGTGTGGTGGTGCACGCCTGTAGTCCCAGCTACTCAGAAGGCTGAGGCAGGAGAATCGCTTGAATCTGGGAGGCGGAGGATGCAGTGAGCTGAGATCGTGCCATTGTACTCCAGCCTGGGTGACAGGGTGAGACTCTGTCTCAAACAAAACAAAACAAAACAACCAAAAACCAAACAAACAAAAAAGATATTGACTCAGAGAATTGCAAGGACTCTTAGGAATTCTCTAGTTTAATGCTGTTCAAGAAAATATAAAATAAGTTACATATGTAAGATTCAATTTTCTAGTAGCTACTTCATAAAAAGAAACAGGTAAAATTAATTTTAATAATATGTCTTTGTTTATTGTCTGTGTTAGTCAATTCTCATGCTGCTAATAAAGATATACCCAAGACTGGGTAATTTATAAAGGAAAGAGGTTTAATTGACTCACAGTTCACCATGACTGAGAGGCCTCAGGGAACTTACAATGATGTGAAAAGGGGAAGCAAACACATCCTTCTTCACATGGCAGCAGGGAGAAGAATGAGAATCAAGTGAAGGGGGAAGCCCCTTATAAAACCATCAGATCTCGTGAAGACTTATTATCACCCGAATAGCATGGGGGAAACCACCCCCATGATTCAGTTACCTCCCACTGGGTCCCTCCCATGACACATGGGGATTATGGGAACTACAATTCAACATAAGATTTGGGTGGAGACACAGCCAAACTGTATCACTCTTTGAAATCCAGTGTGTATTTTGCACTTACAGCATACCTCCATTTGGGATGCTAAATTTTCATTGGAAATACTTGATCTCTTTTGAGATTTTATAAAATTTAAAGTTGAAAAAGTAGATTCACATGCCCAAGTTGTTCCAAGCATACTTAAAATTTTTCCAATAATTGAAATTAAGTAAAATTTAAATTTCTCAGTTGCACTGGCTTCATCTCAAGTGCTTAATAGCCACCTTTGTGTAGTGGCTGCCATATTGGATAGCACAGATATAGAACATTTCCGCCACTGCAGAAAATTCTGTTAGACAATTGAGATCCAATTCAATTCACTGAAGAAACTGAGCAGCAATTAATGACAGAACGAGGACAAGAAGCTTGTTTGTAAGGAGTTTCATAGACAAAACAAAAACAAACCAACCAAAAACCCAGAACACCAACCTTTCCAAAGGCAGACATTCAACTGATTTTGAAAACATGGAGGACAATGTTTATATAAGTTTTCTAGAAGGAATTAACTTTGCTTGTATGTGTTCTTATATATGATCACAAATAAGATTTAAATCAAACAGCTTACAATATGGAAGTTTTCAGGTTATGTTTAGTTTAGTGAGGGACTTCTTTATCATGGTAAAATACACAGAATATAAAAAATTTTAACCCTTTTAAAGCATATAGTTCACTGGCATTAAGAATATTCACATTGCTGTACAACCATTACCACCATCCATCTCTGGATATTTTTCATATTCCCAAACTGAAACTCTATGCCCATTAAATGCTAACTCCCTATTCTTCCTCCCTGCCCAGCCTCTAGCAACCACCACTCTATGAATTTGATTATTCTAGGTACTTCGTATCAGTGAAATTATACAATATTTGCCCTTTGGTGTCTGGCTTATTTCACTTAGCATATGTCTTCAAAGTTCATCCATGTTGTAGCATGTGTCAGAATTCTCTTCCTTTAAAAGGATGAATAATGTCCCGCCATATATATAGGCACCACATTTTATCCATTCATCCATCAGTGGACATTTGGGTTGTTTGCACCTTTTCGCTATTGTGAATAATGCCGCTATGAACGTTTGTGTATAAATATCTGTTGGAAGTACTGAGAATTTTTTTTTCATCTTTTATCATAAACCTATTCATTAAGCTTGCACAACTGACAAATAAGAAGCAGTGGAAATGCTGCTTCACTGGAAAACCCCAACTCAAGATCCTTGAATAGGAAAAGAGACTCTCAGTTCTATCATATTACTGAAAAATTACAAAGTCTGCTTTATTTTCTTGTACTAAGACATTTTAGATGTTCATACTATATTAGCCCTTCTCACCATCTGATATACCACATATTACTTTTCTGTTGTTAATGTCTGCCATTAGCCCCGTCTACTTGCTGCCTCTACCAGAATGTAAATTCTATGAGGACACAGATTTTTTTTTTTGCTTTGTTTTCTTCATTGCTATATTCTTGGTGCTTAGAACTGTGCCTGCTACACAGAAAGCAGTCAATAAGATCTGTTAATGAATGAATGAATCGATGGTGTCCAAGTGTTCTCTACCTCTGTGTTTACTGGGTATCATTTTAAAGGGCTCTAGATTTGGCTTCTTTTGAATATCTTAGTATTGTTTTTACTAGGCCAGAGTATTCTAGTACAAGGAAATGCTTGTAAGTTCTACAGACCTTAAAAATGTCTGGAACAAGGTATGAAAAACAATTAAGTGGTATTGGGAGATGAAAGAAGCTAGAGATGTTCTAGACAAAATATATGAAAGGAATTTTTTCTCCCTCTAATTTGACTGCATTGGTCCCAAAGTGATATTGTATAAAACATCAGAAAAATTTCTACTTTGATAACCTAGATTTGGGGAGAAATAACAAAAAATCCTTTGATTTTTACAGTGGAGTCTGCATGACCAGTTACATAAAAAAGAAACTAAGTCATCACTTTCTAAAGTGAGAACATTTCATTGTCTCCTCTCAGTGCAACTATTTATTGGTTTTTACTGTAGTCAGTCTAGATACTACTTTGCAGACTCTCAGTCTCTTTGTTGAGACATGAATTTCAGTTTTTAAAATAGCAAGAACTTTAAAACATTGCTATAACTTAGGGGACTGGCTCCCTTTTCTTTGTAAGCAGGGACACTTGACTCTGTGAGGTAAAGTGATGTCTGGAAGCATTTTGAGCCTCTGGTTTTGTTGGAGTCATTTTCCTTTTCTTGGATTTTAGTAAGGATATAATCTCAGATCCAGTTAGAAAGGGAGATCACAATGTGTCAAATCCACAAATCAATCCTCTTCTTAATTGCCAAAGTTTGACACATCCCCATGTTTGTCCCAGAAAACTCTAAATGCCCTTTTATTAACAATGGGGAATTAAATTTCCCATATAGACAAATTAACTTCTAAATTATAAGAGAAACATGTGTTTAGAAACACATGGGGTGGGATGGGGGTGGGATGGGGGTGGGAGGGACCCTTGTTCCAACTTGAAGGTTTCCCAAAGTACTCTCCTCTTCTCTTTCTCCTACATATTTTCCACATACTTGTTTTTTTCTGCTTGAACTCATCACCTGGTTATTACCTTCTCTGAAGAATAGGTTTTGGGCAGCAACTCTTTAAAAAAGATATCTCTTTATACTAATTACAGTGGAATAGGTTTAAAAAAATAGGTGACTATTGAAATGTATAGTGTTTAAAACCACGTAGCTATTAACTTTATGTTTGGGCAGCACGTGAAAAGGAGGTGGGGAACTCCTTAGCGGGACTGAAAACTTTATTGTGTTTTCAATAAAAGACTAGCTTAAAAAGAAAAAGATGTGAATTGGCTTAGAGTAAAAAAGATAAATTAATACACTAATGAAAGGAGAGGGGAGACTGTATTTTGTAGATAAGCCAGATTTATGGGCTTGTGCATTAACTTTACACACTAAAAACCTACTTCCCAGTGTTTTTAAAGCTTAATATCTTCCTCTTGAATTGGTGATAGCAACCCTTGGTTTCTCTGTCTCTGTCTCACACGCACACATGAACACACTGTGTGTCTCCAATTATCTCAGAAGTGACAAAATAATCTCAAAATAAGTTTAATATTGATTCAAAATAAATATGCACACATATTCACTTTATTTTTTATGGAAAAAGGGGATAATGCAAAATAGCAAAAATTGTAAACAGAGTTAGAGATTATCTTCATCTAAACCTTAAGCTGACAATTTAAAACACCTTGTGCATAATGCAGAAAAAAACTGTCCGTTTGACTTCACTTTCATTCACACTGCTCCCTACGCATGAGAAAGACCAGATGTCTGGTTTCCAGAGTATTAGGCTTTTTCCTTAGTACTTAAATTTTATTTTTTTTCAAGCTTAAAGAAAAACTGTAGCTCCTTCTGATCTTTAGCATTTTACAGTTTAATAATTTCATATAGCAGAAGTGTTTCTGCAGAAAATGAGCTTTGAATATTTATGCATTTGCAACAGTCCACGAATGGCTTTGGAAAAAATTATTTGACTTTCATTTTGAAAACTCCATTTTTCTAAAAAAAACATAAATTCATAGTTTTCATGGAGAAGAGTGGTGGAGTACAATGGAGCATATGGAAAGAACACTGAATTTGGAGAGAAAGGTATGAGTAGATGACATTTCCTTTTCCTTGTCTGATTCCTACTCATTATAGAAAAAATATACATTATATGTGGTATTCCTCTCTTCTTAACAGAAAACAATGTTTGGAAATTCCTGTGTAAAGCTAATTTGCCATGACGAATATAAAGCCCATTAATGGGATATCCAGGTCCCTATGGGAATTTTTTTTTTTTTTTTAAACAGACACCATGTGGTGCAATCTGTTACAGTCTACAAGGTGGGGGTGGGGAGGGGAGCTCTGGAGGGGCCAGGAATAAAGTCATCTCTGGGAGTTTTTGAGGTATTAACAAAAATGGGAAAAACACTACAGCAGGAGCCTTGGAAATACCTTCCCTTCTGCCCTCGATTGTAACCCAGGGTGTATTATGTTTACGCTTTTCAAAAATTATTTAGCAAGTCCTCAATTTTGGGGAGAAAAAAACCTGAACCTTTTTTGAGATGGTTAGATTGCCATTTGTTTTGTATTTTAATCTAACCTACTGGTGATTTAATTTACAGATCTCAAAGGAAGTGTACGCTCAAATATTTGAGGATGTTAATGTATCAACCACTGTGTAATTTTGGAATGTGCCTACTCGCTTGACACAATATTTTACCATCTAACAAATGTTTAGCCTTTTTTTCACTTGACTAAAGAGAAATAAGTTTCACATTGCTTCATTCACCTTCTTATGTGCATATGCTGGGAAAGATTGGATGTTAAAAAAAAAAAAAAACTTCCTCATGTTCCTTTCTACTACATCTAAATCTGTTTACCAATTCAAAGCTGCTAAAAAAACCTGCATTCTCCTGCTAAATCAACTGGATGGCTAGAAACCAAACTGTAATGTAAGAGAAAAAAATTATCAATTTATTTTCATGACAGAACATTCTTGAGAAGGTATAAAATTGTTCTGGTTGCTATGCCAGTTTTCTTTTTTCTTCCTTCCTCTGTCTTCTTTTTTCAAAGGCTTTTAGCTTTTAAGCTGATACTTTTTATAGTTATATAACAGTTCTAATATTTTGTGACATTTTGTATTGTGACACTATAGATGAAATTGTCATCGGACTGACACCCTGTGCTGTTTATTCCTTAATTACAACTGTTAACACTGTAGAGAAGCGTGCTAATCTGCCAGCACATATTATGAAAACAACATTATTGTTACCCACACCAACACCCACTCAACAGGATATTTCCAAGATGGTAGTTTAAAGGAACTTATCGGCACAATGGACATTTCAATATAGTTGTTGTTGTTGTTGTGTATTTAGCTTTTCCTATTGTCTTCTTTTAAAGACACAAACCAGTTTGAAATTTAAAACAAACATTTCATTGTAATATAGCATAGGTACCCTTTACTAGCAGAGGTTGCCTCTACAGTTGGAAAGTTATAAATTTTTTTTTTTTTTTTTTTTTTTTTGGTGATCAAGCAGTGGTGGACTGAGGAACCTCAAAGCTGTTTAGGGTTGTGACCTAACGCTTTCTGACTGACAGTTTTTTCAGGAATAATGAAAATAGAAGGAAGCGGGAAGGGAAAGTTTAAAGATGAAAAGACAAGAGTGGGGTTATGTGCATTCACAAGGTTGGCAATCCTTAAATAACCAAGTCAAAATCCAATAACCATTCCCAGCTCTAAAAGGCATCCTTTTTCAAACCAAGTCTGAGTCTTCCTGAAACTGGCTACTTATTGACTGTTTTATAGTTCAGTTCTTTCTGTCTCCAGAACTTTTAGAAGTTTGGTTATCTGTGAGGGATAAAATCTTATGAATTTATTTTCTCATACGTTATTTTACTAAAGCAGTTTATTTTAGGTGTCACTGTCTTTTAATTTGTTAAAAGAAACAATAATGGTTAAAAAAAAAAAAAAAAGAACCATGTTGATCCTATATGTTGTCCCTAAAAAGTAAGGATTCTAAAAAACTTAAAACCAGAGCCAAGATACCTGCTTAGAGGAGAATGATTGTAAATTGTTGTTTTTTTTTTTTTTAAAAACAACATACACACAACACTGACAATAATTTAATTAATAAAGAATCCACCTTTTAATATTAGTGTTTAACACGTCTGTGGGTTTGGAGGAAAGCAAATTCATGACCTTGAAATAGTAGTAGGTGATAACATGAGACTTGCCAGTAAATTCTCATATCTTCACTGTCACTTAGGAGATAATGGAAGAATATAAACATATTTAATTCCTAAAGTTCCTGCAATAACCTACATACACCTTAACATTCAGCTTTATTAAACAGGCTTTTTGAAATAGGACGTGAAGAAGTCATCGCTATGCCTCATTTTGAATGGTATTTTCTGCTTCATTTTGATTTTCAACAGCAAAAGGATATGGTGCTCTTCCTAAAAGAAACTGTTCCCATTTGGGAATATATTCTTCTACTGATGCCCAGTAACGAGTCTGGAAAAAAAAATTCAAAAGTAAAAAAGCATATCAAGCAATTGAACTTGGCTCTTCATAATAGTCTAAATGTTTATTCACTTAAGTGTGTGTGTGCGTGTATATACACACACACACACACACATATACGTAGAATGCATTTCCTCTACAGAATATTTTATGTTAATTTTAGAAAAAAATCTGGCTACTTACTAGTGTTAATTTTCAAATTTCTCAGTAAAACCAGAGTCTGGCAGAATTACAGGTTTTAGAATTTTATTGTGATTTTACACGCCCTCTTGTGGCCAACTTCATGATTATTGCCAATAGTATCATTTATGGTGATATAACCATTAAATGTTTTTGTTTAGTATTCCAAATCCCATACCAAATGATTACCCCATACTGAAATTATTACAATGAAATTATTAAACATAAATCATGCTTCAGGATTAACATCAAAAGATTTGACCTGGGATGAGATCAGGAACTGAAATACAACTAGTGTGTTATAGCACAGGAATCAGATACATTGGACCCTTGTGTAGGAAATATATATCCACTATACTTTTTCCCCATTTTTATGATGACAAAATGTCAATATAATTTAATAATTTTTAATACAAACAGCTTGGAAGTTGAGATGTTGTATTATTGGTCTGACTGTAGAAGTCTATAGGCTTTAGAAGTTCGTGCAACATTGCGTGTTGTGTCTAGCTTTGATTTCTTGGGTGACTGCCCTAAGGAGGTCAAAGAGAACTAAACTGCCCAAAGCCCTGTGTCATAGGAGGGCAACTGATATTAGATCATCACTAGCAATCTCATTTTTGGAAATTCAGCCAATGAGTTAGCACTAGAAACACAAAAATATTCACTCCAAGCATTAAATACAGCAGTTCTGCAAGTTGAAAATGGTGAGGGATTCTATATGTCTATATATCTATGCATGTGGTCTCAGAAACAGCCTGACATACTTAAAGTAAAGGTCATCCTGCTGTGCAAGACTAGTTAAGAAAAATACCATCTGAGGCCCGTTGTTGGGAGTTTCCCTGACATTCGCAGCTGGGGTAACTCCCATTGTGTGGGTCCTGTATAGGCCAGAGTAAGGTATTGGAGAATCAGACAAAGAAAAAGACATGTCCAAGATACACTTTGTACCAGAGTTTTTTGTATCCTTGATCACTGCCTTGTTTTGTTACCCTGGATGACACAGAAAATTGAGGGGAAAATTCTCAGCCTCTAATTTTGAGTCTATTAATCCCCAGGTGGGGAGAAAGCAAAACCTGTATTTGAGAAAGGTCATTAAAAATACAAAATGAAACTATTCTATATGTAGTAAATTCCCATTCATCACAAACGTATTCATATACCAAATATAGTTTATTTTTGCCAACCATCTTCCAATCTGTTCTTGAACTGAACAAAATAAAGCAGACAAAAGCCATACTATATTGTATGATAATATGCATTTAATTAGCTCTGGTTAAATTTTTGGTGAAGGGACTAAACTGCTACTTCAACATCAGCAAGCAGCAAAAGCATTTGAGTTAGGTGTGTTGTCATCTCATGATTTAGCGCATATTGTCTGTTATGGTTTAACAGGATAGTTGTTTCTAAGTGACAAGGTGAAAAGATCCCCATCTTTATAAAATTTCCAATTGCTAAACTTTTAAAAATCAAGATACTTCTCAGTTACCTCCTATGTATAAAGCACAGTACTGTGGACATAAAAAGATCAAACAGGCATATCTTCTTTAATGTACTGAATAAATATATCTGGAAAATATATATAACCATTGTTTAACCTGTAGTGTGCTACTGATAGATAGAGTCTCTCTTTTTACGTTTGTTCCTTAAGATGCTCACCTCAAGAGAAACCACCTCAGGCCGTGGAAGTGGGTGAATCCTGGTCTGCAGTGACTTTTCTGCTGCTTCTATATCCTGTAACAGATACCGGCATTTTATATTAAAGTGGATTTACATAAAACAAATGGCACCTGTACAAGCAATATCTATATCCCGAATCTCTCACCTCCACTCTTCTCTGGATATAGTTTGAATGGATGGAGGCACACCGCGGTAGGAAAACTGATCATTGTTCAATTAATCCATTTCAGATAAAGAATACAGCATTTCTTATTTTGAAATAGAGGTGGGGGAGGTGGTACTTCTAGGTTCTGCCTTTTCACTTTTGAATAGCTAGTAAATGTCAGTAATTCATGCAAAAAGAGTGTCTTATAATAGTGTTCAGTGCATTAATTTAGCTCGTACATCACTAAAAAACAGCCAGAAGGATAAAATAATAAAATATTCAGATACAAAAACAGTCAGATACTCAGACCCACCCTGTGCTAATCTTAAAAGTGAAGAGTTCTAGTCTCTCTAGAAGATGTAAATAGCATACCAATGGCACACATTTCATTTGTTCAATGTTCAATTAAAAAAATTATATGTATGCAAATATTCCATATATTTAATGGAAGCTCAGTGAGGTACCTCGGTACTTAGTGACAAGAACCTTTTCATTATACCATCTAGATCTTTTTAGTACTAGCTTTCTAAGCTAATTTCAATGGCAAGTTTTATTGCTAGCTAGTATGTCATTCAGCTGAAAGCATTCAAGCACCATGCTTTAATGTGTAGTTTTACTTGTAGATATGTGTATTTTTCTCTTATAGTTGTAAAAACACCAAGGTAACTAAACTTAATTCATACCCTGGTAAATATTCTTATCTTTATATATACATGAAGTAAACGCCCAGAAATGCAGGATTCCACAAATTTTTACTGGAACACTTGAGCATTGTCTAATAAACGCTCCCCAAATCAGCACCCATGTTGTCTTGTGCCCACTTATGTCTGTCAAGTTCACAATGTGGCCTTGGTCACAGGCCATATAAATTTTGTCTCTCTGTTGAGCTTAGTGAGTTGATAGAAAAGAGAAAGTTATCTGATTCCTGTACAAGCATTGGAGCAGTCTAAGTAGAGGGCTGTTGGACAGACGGAGAGAGATGGAAAAGGGCGTGGGAGTGGGGTGTGAAGAAGCCAATGCTGAACAGGAGAAAAGAGATAGCAGATGGTAGCGGCGGGAGCAAGGAATGGGTGTGAAATGTAAAAGGGAAAAACAGGAAATTCCCTAAAGGGACTCCCCAAAGTTGCACAACCATTAATGCACCTGCTGTCTGGAGGAAGGTGATTTGAAGGAAAAAAGCCATGAATTTAGGGAAAAAAGCTGATTTTTAGCATGTCTATCCCATACCAGAAGTTTATAGCTAAGATGCATGCTAAAGAGCTTTTGATGCTGATGCTATGACAGATACAGAAGCCTAATAACTTTTGTGTGATTACATTGAGATGTTACAAGGTCCTGGAAAAATGTTTTTTACCTTTATAAATCAAATAAACACAAATAAAATAATCACAAGTCCAATTATGGTCCTTACTCGAAGAAGTTATAAGATTATTGTTAATGGCAGATCTTGGTGCCACTAGCATTGTAGACAATATTATAAACATTTTTCTTGAAGACCAGAAAATAAGGATATTTAATATCTCTTATAGGAGAGCAGATTTCTAAATGGGAAAGCAGATACAAGTAGGAGACATATGGCCTGGTAAAGCAGGCCTATGGTTAAACACTTGACTGTTATCTCTGCAGTATTCTGACTATAAATTATCAGGCCTCTGAAAAACTTATTTCTTAGCTTAAGAGATATTTGCTTTCTTAGAAGACATGCTCACCTCTGATTCCTACTTTTCTTTCCCTTTGGCTGTCTAATTTTTCTCCCCTTGTTCCTAAGTGTGAGCTTTCTTAAGATCTGTGGCAGCTGTTCTCATATTTTTTATCTTCTCTCTCTCAAGACTGTGTCCTATCTAGCTTCAGTAACTTTTACTGTAGAGGCATGGCTAACCTTTCTTCCTAGCCCTTATTTCTCAACCAAATGAAACTAAGCTCATCTTATTCCTACAGGATATAATGAATGAACAATAGTAGGAATTCTCTTCCCTCAGATACCTATGCTCTATACTCTATCTTTAACTCTTCTTATACCTGCCATTTAAATTTTCAAAAGTCTATAAATTGTTCCTTCAGGATATCTCTCCTAGCCTTTCCATTTCACTCCCAATGCTATGGCCTTATTATTACACTTATTCATTCAACAAATACTTGAGGAGTACTTACTGTATGATGCATGCCTACAGTATGTCTTGTTTTACTTCCATCCATACCTAAGAGGGGATCAATTCATTTTTCTAAAGAACTACTTTGCATATGCCTTTCCCTAGACTTAAAAAATCATCAGTACCCACTACATAGAGGATGAAGTGTGAATTCCTTAGCTTGACTGAAAACAAACAAACAAACAAACAACTTTGCAATTTGATCCTAGCCTTCTGTAGCCAGTTATACCCTAATACTTCCACATAAGAACCTTTCCTTTGATTATATACTACCACAAGGTAAGGACTGTGTCCCATACAACCTTTATGCATCTGAGTATCTCACAAAGTGCAGGGCGTGTACTAGGCATTAAATATTCATTAAATGAATACATAAGACGTAAAAGTTTCCTGATTATAAACCAAAACTTTTTTTTTTTTCAAAAGGTACCCGAAGCAGGCAGAGGGAAAGGAAAAAGGGGGGTGAAAAGGGAGGTGACACTTACTTGACTATACATTGTTCCCTTGTCTTATAGACTTGCCACTAGAACATTTAAAATTTTATATAGTTATAGGACAAATAAAAAAGCAATTCCCTCCAAATTGGAAACTAAATGTGACAAATCTAACTATTATGTAGTTTGTGGTATAACCACATAGAGAAGAGCTACATCAAGTATTCTTAGAACACAGTATTCACTGGACACACTTTGTGGGGGTATACCCTGGGGACAAAAAGAAATTGTAAAAGTTATCTTACTGAAAACCATTCTCAGTAATCATATTATTGGTGATAGCCATGTCTGTATCATAGAATAATTCTTTGGAAACAGATTTTCGGTGTTAGAAAAAGAAGGTAGATGCGTAAGATCAGCGATTTTAAGTTAAATCTTCAATCGTGTAATTGAATTGGAGATACTGTTATAAGCTCTTGATGTATTTTATTTTAAACAATAACAAAACAAGTTGCAATAAGCATTCTTAGTACCCAGATTGAGGGCTCTAAATATATTTCCTGCCAAAAGGAACCAGGGCTTCTTGGAGCAATGGCCAATTCCAGGTCTGGGCAGAAAAGGCACATAATGAGCCTGGAATAACTCATTACATCATAAAGAAAGGAAACTATCAAAGACTGTTAGGATAATGTCAAAGACATTCAGGAGTTAACTTGAAGAGGCTTCACCACAGTAAAAATGGGACACATAAGGCATAAATAAGAATAAAAATCGCAAGGGATCGAAACATTTCAAATCCCAGATAAACTAAAAACAAAATACCACCTTATTCGTCACCATTAGAGGATGCCAGAGAACCAAACTATGATTTTGAAAGCTATAGAGAAAGTGTCCAGAAGTCATACCTTTTCCTACATGAACTGTACTTCAGTGTAACCAAATAAGTGATGAGGGGAAGATTCTCTTTCATATAAATAACAAGCAATTGAAAGAGAAGGAATAAAAGAATTTGAATATTCTTTTTGCAACCTCTAATGAATATATCTAGGCAATGATCATCAATGACTGCCAACATTCCAAAATGAGACAGCCAGGAATTATGGAAATGTTCTTCCCCCAAACAATGAACCTGAATCTGATCCAGCCTCTAGAACTTCACTGCTCATATGATAGCCATTAGCCTCATGTGACTACTGAGCACTTAAAATGTGGTAAGTCCAAATTAAGATGTGCTGTAAGTGCAAAACATATACTGAATTCGGAAGGCTTAGTAAGAAAAAGAATATGGGATATTTAATTACAAATTTTTGGTAGAAACATTTGAAATAATATTTTGTATATACCTCATGAAAATGTTATTAACATTAATTTCATCTGTTTCTTTTGACTTTGTTAAAAGTGGTTACTAGAAAATTTTAATTACATATGTGCTCACAGTATATTTCTGTTGGACAGCACAGCTCTAGATCAATTTATAGGAATTACAGAGAATACAGGAACATGCAAAATGATACGTCAGAGATGTAACTAGCAATATCCAAACTGAGAAACACATAGGACAAATGACCTAATTCCTTTAACACATAAATTAAAAAGTGGATGAAAAGGTCAGGGGGTACTTTTAGAGACGTATCAATCAATTACAATGTTGGATTTTATTTGGATTCTCATCCAAACAAATGTAAACATGCCTACAGATTTATCAGAGAAATGTGAACTCTGAATATTTGAGGAATTAGTGGTAATTTCTTATTGATAATAGTATTGTGATTTTGCTTAAAATAGTAAAATAGTCCTTATCATTTAATGATATACACTGAAAAAATACAGATATATTCAGAAATAGCTAAAGGTGAAACAATACGATTTCTGGAGAATACCTTCAAAATAAACTCAGTGGTTGGGGAAGGGGATGAGGTATATAGATGAAGCAAGATTGGCCATGTTTCGGTAATTACTGAATCTGGGTAATAAGCACATGTAAGTACATTCTTCCATTCCCTTTTCTATATAGGCTTGAAACTCTTCATAACAATTAAAAAACAAGTTCCCAGTGTGGATGATGGTATAAATGTTACTCTATGGCAGAACTGAGAAGGCTATGTTTAAATGAGTTGATTCATGATTAGGAAAGGTAAAATATGAGCACAGAAAGTCACATGCTGAGATCTCTTTTTCTCCCTATCCCTATACATGCCACTTCCTCCAAAACTTGAAATCTAATACCTCACTATAAATATATACAGTGAACCTAGCTATGGCCAGGCTGGTTTTAATCTTTTAAGCTGCTGGAGGGCCAATTTCTGGGATATGAAAAATAAGATACTAAAGCACGAGATACAGGGTCATTGGTACAGGAACATGCAAGCATTTATTAAATGTATTCTTCAAGGAATTGGAGGTGAGAAAGGTAAGAAGGAAAGAAGAGAGATAGGGTCCTATAAGTCACCAACCATCTTGGGTGGCAGTTTGTTGAAGTCCCTGTTTAACTGCCAACTGCCCCATGAAGGCTTCCAGGGTGTTCTTCAGTGGAAGCATTCTCTCACCGGCTGCAGCACTTTCTCATTCTTTCTCACCCCAGAGTATTTGTCCAGCTTACTCATGAGCTTACTCTTGAGATGATGTTGACTTACAGAATTGCCTTTTTTTTTTTTTTTTTGAGATGGAGTTTCACTCTGTCGTCAGGCTGGAGTGCAGTGGCGCGATCTCGCTCACTGCAACCCCCCAGCTTCCCGGGTTCAAGCAATTCTCCTGCCTCAGCTTCCTGAGTAGCTGGGACTACAGGCACACACCACCACACCCAGCTAATTTTTTGTATTTTTAGTAGAGACGGGGTTTCACCATGTTGGCCAGGATGGTCTTGATCTCATGATCCGCCTGCCTCAGCCTCCCAAAGTGGTGGGATTACAGGTGTGAACCACCACACCCGGCCCTACTTATAGAATAGCCTTTCTAGATAAAACTAAATTTTATGGTAGGTACATGGGGAGAGATGTCAGCTTACATTGTGGCAGTATTTATAGAAACACAATTTTCTCTTTCTCTTCCAAATCTATACCAATTCTGTTATGTTCTTAAAAGGCAGATAAATTCCATTTTACTAATACTAACAGGGAAAAATCACCCACCCTGTGTTTTCAAAGTTCACTATCTTTTATGATAGTTACTGACTGAAGCCTATTCTTCACTACCTACATTCATATCTATTCATTTACTAATATGTGCAAATATTTGATGGAATTGGTCGCTTCTTCACTGCTCCTTTATAAAATACATTCTTTGATATTTTATATTCCTGCTGTTTTCCAAAGGAATTTACAGACATTGAGTTCAAGGTGAATTCTGTTGGAACTTATTTAAATCTAAAAATAATTTTGTGTTTTTAAATTTTATGTGTAATTTTTACAAAGACTCAATTCAGAGGGTATGTGTAACAGCTGACTTTAAAAAAACAATAGTCTCCCTAGTCAGGATTAAGGCACATGTTTCCTTGTAAGTTTTCTTTTAAATCTTCCATTTCAGAGTAATAACTGTCTCTACACCAATCATGCAAACCCCTTGTTAAGATCATTCCCAAGTATTTTAGAATTTTATTGCTAATGTGAATGTGATTTCTTATATTTTCCAGTTGTATACCTAGAATTACTATTGATTTTTGTATCTTTTATCCACCAATTTTACTTAACTCATATTATACTACTTTCAGAACAAATTTGGCTTTTTAAAGTATATAACCATATCATTCCAAAATGCTAGTGTTATACTGTCCTTTTCAAAAGTGAAAGCTCATTCCTTTTTAATGTTCATTATATTGGTCAGAAGATCTAAATAAGGTCAAATAATGGATGTTAATAGACGTCATCCATATTTTGTACTCTTATTACAGAAATGCTTTCAAGTTTTATTGGAACCATTTTTAAAGTGTAGGCTGTAGTTCTAAAGTACCTATCCTAGATGTAACTTAACCTGTCCTGAACAAGTGGTATCAGGAGTAATTGCCCTATGGTTTCCTCATCTTTAAATTAAGGAATTAGCCCAGATCAGTGGTTTTTCACAGTTCCTTAAAGCCACAGCTGGGCAGTCAAGGAAAGACTGAACAGGTGGTGCTTTGACCCAAAGCAGGTCCACTTCTATCTATTTTAACAGGAAAACAAGTTTTAATGCAAAAAAATTGAATACCTTTAGATGAGAATCGAATCTAATATACATATTTTTAAAGTGTCTACCAACTCAAAATTCTGCAATCAAGTCTTATTTATTTATTTTTCCCCAGACACAGAGTCTCACTCTGTCACTCAGGCTGCAAGTACAGTGACTACGGTGCATGATCATAGCTCACTGTAACCTTGAATTCCTGGGCTCCAGGGAACCTCCTGCCACAGCCTCCCAAGCAGCTGGGACTACAGGCATGCACCACCATGTCCAGCTAATTTTTTAACTCTTTTTTAGAGACAGGGTCTTGCTGTGTTGCTCAGGCTGGACCTGAACTCCTGGGCTCAAGTGATCCTCCTGCCTTGGCCTCCCCAAGGATAATCCAAAGATTATAGGCATGAGCCACTGTGCCTGGATAAGTCTCATTTATTTTACTTTCATAATGACTTCTATGGTAGAGCCACTAAAATTCTTTTGAAAGTTTAAAAACATATGAGGGAAAGTAGGATTTTAAAAATTGCATATGCAATGACTCAAAGAATGCAAAAAAAGAGAAGAGGCAGCATCTCTAGCAGCAAGCACTGTGTTTGTGATATAATAGGTACTCATAAATGTTTACTGAAGTACTCAAAGAAAATATACAAAAATATATTAATTTTAGATCAGCGGGATGATATGGAAGGTATGCTATTTCGTCTTCTTTACCCTTTAATTTTTTTTTTTTTTACAGTGGGAATATTTCACTTTGATTATCAGGGGAAAAATATCAGACCAAATTGAAGTTTCTCATAACTGTGAAACCAGGTTCATTATGTTCCTTATATATGTATGACTATGATTTCTTAGCTACATTCTGAACTCTATTCTCTATTCTCTATTCTCTCCATTTTTGAAATCATCTTGCATCTAAATAGCAAATGAATCTTCCTTAAATACCCACTCATTTATTTCTTATATAAGTCTATATTTTTCTTTTGCTTAGTCATTTTCAGTACTGAATTATGTCTATACATCAAGTCTCAACTTCTTTGGTCCGATAACACATATCCAACCTTGTTTCCTGTGAATTTCTAAGCTAGTTAGTCACACTCTCAGGATCATTAACAGGGTCATTCAGTCTTCTGGTCTTGGCTCTTTTGTAAGAATCCAACAGTATGCCTTGCCTTCTGCCTATTCAAATACAGGCTAGGCTTAGCTTCTTCTTTGAGACCTTTTTGAATATTCTAGCTCTCAAAGATTTTTTAAATTCTTATTTCTGTAGTCCTGACTCTATTCCATGTAATTTAATGTTTGATCACACAAAGTCTCTGGGTTCTTGATATCAAGAGCTCTGATTTATACTTATTTTGTTGTCCCTACTTTCTGCCCAGAACTAGCTCAACAGTAAGGACCCTCTAAGCATTCATCAAATACTTGCTCATTAAAAGGAAAATGCTTGAAAACTAAATATCATATCACGTGCTGCAGGTAGGTAGCAATTAAGCCTTCTAATTTAGTTTTTCTAACTTTTCAGAGCAAATTCCAGATTATCCTATATATTTCCATTTAAAAATAAATATTGCTAACACCATTGGGCAAGTAAGACATATGGCAATATAGAATGCTTTGGTAGCACTATGGCTGTGACTTAAATTACTGTGGATCAAACTGCCAGAAGCTGAGAAGATAACTGAATTTTCCTCTTCCTTTATCCTCTAGTGAGGACAGAAGATAACTATATCATGCCTATCGATGAAAATATTTAACAATAAAAAACTGAAAACACTGCTTTATAACTTAAATAATATAGTCTTACTACCAAATGTTTTAGTCATAGGATCTCTTGGAAGCTTGAATGGAAGCAAACTTTAGGGTTTTAATTATGGATGAAGCCATACAATTCTGGAAGCAAAGTATAACAAGCAGCCAAAAATGTTACACATATGATTCTACTCCAAATGGGCACATTGGCCAAATGGTGAGGCCCCGCACAATCATACACTTTGACCACTCCTCCATATCCATCAAGAGGGAGCTGGGAAATCTGTTATCATAGATATGAATTCTGTGTGTTTGCCTAGTCAGGCAAAATCAAATTGTTCTTGTTTTTATGATGTTTGATAGTTGTGAGTTGGCTCTCAATAGCTTATAGGTACTTTATGGCCTTTCAGGATTTCCTTTCAAATAAAAGAAGATGAAAGATGGAAAGGTACATCTTCTATTTCTTACTTCTTGCAAAAGGGTGACCTTACAATTCCTTCTGTAGTCATTGATTTTCTAGTTGATTGCAAACAGAGTTCAAATTTTTTTTAATTTAAAAAAATGAGGATACATATGTTACTTATCTAACTGACATGGGCTTTTAAAAAAGATGCTGCTTTAGTAATTCTACTTATTACTCAGAACCAATAAATTATATAAATCAATATTATGAAACTTACCTAAAAGATTTTTGAGGAGGTGGGATAAATTTCTATATTCAAGTCATGGAAACTTACCTTTAAAAGACTAAGGTTCCTTTTAAAAGCAGTCTCAACTGTTTGGAGTTGAGATGCCTTTTCTGTATGTTGATCACCCAATTTATTCTCCATTTGTTGAAGTAACATTAATCTTTGTGATACTCTAGAAAAAAATGAAGATTATAGAGTTAAAAAATTAAAAGCAAACACTTTACTGCTTGACCAATATAAAAAATTCATTACTTAATAACACCTCACTTCAACTCTAACCTATTCTAAAAGTCAATTACTATGTCAACTAATAAGACAGTGAAAAATCTGAGGTAGTTCAATAAGTCTTAAGTCAATCTGGTTAAAATCATTTTTATTTTCATTAACATATTCTTTATATATGCCATAAGTACATGCTTCTGTTTTTTTAGCCTCTCTGGTCTTTTGAAATTATTTTAGAATGTTGAAGATATGTTTTAATTTTTGGTGAAAATGCAAACTGTAATACATATCCCTTTGTACACATAGTTATATATACCTCCCGACACACATACATTGATATAACTTGCTATATGAAACCTTCTGCTTAACACTTCAGTACCCCTGAATCTCATGTTACACATTTAGAATTGTGCTAAACTTCCATATGTTTGAAGAAGCAATAAAAATATTTTTTCCCTCTTTTTCCAAGAGAAAGATGATGGTTTGATATATGAGTGAGAGGCTGTGTGTATGTATGCATACTCACAACAAGGTAAAACAGTAATTGAACAAAGATGTAAAAAATTACAAGTAAATATCTTCAAACTACTTTGTTACATATAATATACTTTAAAAGTTTCTTGCTGGTCAAATGCTTATTTTATACATTTTTGTTCTTTTTAAGACAATATGTAAGATGATTAAAAGATACATAAGTTGGTATACACAACAGTCAAACTGTTTCCCAAATAGTTGTGGAGGTTCTCAAGAAACACTGTGTTTCATCGGGCTGTCTTAAAGGTGGAATTAAAATCCCAAGTCTATGAATAGTCAATTTTTTGGTAAGGAAAGTATCTTATGAGCCAAGGAAAGAACGTCTGGTAATTAATTAAAGAAAAGGAAAACCTGAAAGCCCACAGAGAGAGGAGGAAAAGAGTGAAAAATACAAAACAAAGAGCAGGACTGGCTACACAATTTGAGGGTCCAGTCTAAAATGATGCAAAACAATGGCATGAGAGCATTAAACCAAATGCAAGACCTATGACTGTATATAAGTCATATACCCATGAAGCCAGTCCTGGGTAAGAGGTTTAGAGAAGCCCATTAAATACCAATGTGGAGCCTAGAAGGGGTGGGAGGAGGGGCAAATTTATCTATATATTACTTACAAAGAGTAAAAATACATAGAACATATCTTTTAATCTTGCTTATTCATAAGAAACAAGGACATTCCCTAACACTAAGACCTCTTAAGTGTCAGAAAATTAAAATGACATGCTTTCAAATTTTTAAGTCATCCTGTGCATACAAAATTTCACTAACAAAGCTAGTTCAATTTCTATATCTGAATCATCCTTTTAAAAAAAACTTACATTTCTTCATGTCTTTTAGAAAGGCGAATTTCTTGAGCAAACAAGGAAGTCATCTTTAATCAAAGCTGTCATAAAGAATAAAAACATTTAAAGTTACTTCTACCACATGTCCTCAGCTTTGCAACATTTGATTATTTTAGTAGCTTAATCCATTGGTTCTCTCAGAAGAGAAAAGAAAACTTAAGATGTAATAATGTATAAAATGAAAGGACGCGATTAAACACATTTTTATTCAGCATGCCAGTTTTATCTAAGAACACCATGAATTAGGTAAACCCAACATATTTCGTATTGTCTCCTCTTTTCTTTCTAAACTCTAACCTCAATCAGAATTAAAAACAAACAAGCAGCTGGTACTAAGACTAGTAAACGTTTTATTGCATCAACAGAAAAAAAATCCGCTCTGTAAAATTCAACACAGGAACACCATCGCTTATGCATGTGCAAACACACATAGACAGAAAGGCAGGCAAACAAGTATGAGAACCAACTGGAAATTCAAGGTCTTTCCTTTATTGGAAGAGTGCCCAGTTCTACCATCTCTCTTCTAAATAGGAAATTACTTTTCATGCGTAACTGTGAGGAAAAGCACAATTAGATAGATACCTTCCCCTTCCCCTGGCTGCTCAGCACTCTCATTTGTGGAGTGTAGGAAAGCCCATTTTCATGGCACACTTTACACAACGAGCAAGCTCACCTTGGCTAAAGACATTGGACCGATACAGACAGAGGTCTAGTGAAATGCTTTGAAGGCCTCCAAAACTGCAGACAACTCATCTGGTTGGGCTTATAAGCTGAAAGTGCTTGCCCTAAGGGAGAAAAAGAGGAATAAAATTCCTTCCTGAAATGAAGCTTTCCTAAATTTTATGAAATTAAACATCTATGCACTCTATAAAGATTATCTAAAGATGGACACATCGCCCGAGCGTCCAGCCCTGCTAGAAAGCCCACGCCTATTGAGTGTAGGGCGCTGAACCCGGCCAAGGAAAACGGAAACACCGCCCTGCCCTCATCAGGTTTCCTCCTCTAGGCATGGCTGCCTTTCCTTCAGCACCGCGGACAGCAATCGCTCACAGGCCCGCCCTCCAGGGTCTAATTACAGATATTTTCAGCTAACATCACCGCAGGCCAATCCTCGCCGCCCTCCTCTCGGTTTCCTTTTGCAACAAGGCCAATTAACGCAGCGCCAAGGGAATCCCGGAAAGTCGGTTCATGGTAACTTTTCTGTGAGGCCCGCTATCAGCACTTCAGACAAAACCAAATCAAATTCTCCCTTAGAACCGAAGATCCGCACCTTCTCAGAGTCATCTGCCCTCCGGCCGCCCCAACTCCCGCTTATACCCAAAGGACTCATGAACCTTCCTCATCAACCTGGCTCTTTACGTTAACAACATCCTCTCCAGCAGTCCTGCAGGCCCCTGCGCAACCGTCAGGCAGTCAGGGCATCCACCCACGGTCCGACTCCACTCACCCAGCCCGCCTCTGAGCCCTTCCGGGAAGGCACCAGCTACTGCGCCGACGCCGGGGCCTCAGCGCAGGCCAGGGCGTGGTCACGTTGCCATATTTGCGCACGCGCGGCACGCGGTGACGTCACTGCATCTTTATAAAGGGCCGCCTTGGGGCGCGAAAGGTTCGTGAGTTGTAGTCGCGGCAACCAGAAGGTGGGCGTGTGGCACGCGGCGCGCGGGAGGGTGACTTGGAAGGGTCTTTACGAACCCTAGGGAAAGGCGGTCTGGTAGTAAGTCCATTTCAAGACCTTTTAAAGTGAGACCTGCATATGTTGAAAGAGTTTTAGAGAGTGAAGCTGGGTTCTTAGAAGCTGGAATGTCCCAGCAGAATGTAGAAGTGCGAAAAATTCGGCAAAGTACTCTAAAGTGAGTAGAATTTACAGTCGGTTTATTCAGCGAGTGCATATGAAGCAGCTTCGAGGTGCTTCGTCCTGGACGTCTCACACTGAGCAGAGCAACGAGAGCCCCTGCCCGCTCATTGTTGGTAGACCCCGCGTTGACAGTAGTATTGCTGGATTACGCCTTGAGTGGTTTCTGAGTGTCAGTCGCCATATTTACATTGGTTATCTCGTTGAGTCCCCGCAACGCCCTGTGAAATGGGCACCATTAGCTTCATTTGACAGCCAAGGAGACAAGCGTGGTTGTTAATTTAGCGCTCTTTGTAATAATATCTCGTTGCTGTAAAGTGCATTTCTTAATTTTTGTTCTTGAAATAACTGAAGTACGTGGTAGTGTCAGTTCTCTAATATGCAGAGGAAGAAAAGGTTCAAGAGAGGTAAAGTTGTTTTCTTTATAAAGGATGCTCTGCTGGTAAAAGACAAAGAGTTAAGGACTCCAAAATCCAAGGTATATTTTAAATTTTCTCCTTCCAGAATATTTACGTAAAACGTAGCTCTTGCGTCAGGATCTCTGCACTTAATGTTTCCTTTGCTTGGAAAGCCCCTTCTTCAGACATTTATAGATTCGATTCCTTGTATCTTTCAATCTACCTCCTCACAGAACCATTCCTCTAATCTCCAATATAAGAAGATCCCCACCTCCTGGCTCCGTATCCTCCACCTGCTTTATTTTTTCCATAACACAGTAACAATCCATATATTGTGTAATCACTCATTTATTTGTTTGCCAGTGCACCCACCACTAGAATTTGAACATCCTAAAAGCAAGTATTTTTGTCTCTGCTTTGCTGATGTATCCTCAGCAACCGGAACTGCCTGACATACAGGTGCTCAGTAAATATTTTTGAATGAACGGATGAAATAATTCCTCCCGTTAACATTCATCATAATTTCAGAGTACTCTATCTTCACTTGATAGGAGCTTTGATTTTGCTGTTCCATACCCTTACCACTTAGGAAAGATGAAAAGTAGACCCTTGAGTGGTCCTGTGTTCTAGGAATAAAATAGAGCTTTTGCACGGTTGCAAGGAATTCTTGTTTATTTTTTGTGTACATTTACAAATAAGGATTTTTCTTAAGTTGGTAATGGGTTGTGTGAAAATAATAACTGTAGGCTTATTATAGCATTTGTTTGCTGCTTGACAAACTGCTAACCTCCCTGCTTGTGTAAGTTTGCATAGTAACACAGTTGGGACAAATCCAGCTCTTTCAACGTTGAGCCCAACTTTTGTAGGTCACCATCCGCCTTAGCTGTGAACTGAGGAATACCTTGGGAGTTTTCTTGCAGTTTTTAAGAACAGTAATCAGGAATATATCACAGACACTTGGAGGTTATCTAGATAGACTTTGATAATTTGTCTTATAGCATCCAATAAAAGTGGTTAATTTCTACTTAAAGATCTACTGTGATAGCTGCGTTTCTCATCATATTGCCCACAGCTGATCCTTTCTGTGAGTCACCAGGCTGGTAAGGAAGAATCTCTGGCAACAGTGTATCTATTAATATATAGCTTCTGTGTTTATCAGGTAAGTTTGGATACTTTCTGGAGTGAGGTATTCACAGCCTGCCATGAAAATTATTGCAACCTACTAAGTAACAACTGACCCATAATGAGACAGTCTGCAAGGTGTTGTGAAATTATTGTTTCCTAACCCCTGGACTAGTTCTGTGCGCCAGCATGCTATCATTATCTCCTCAGCCTCATATAATTTTCTCTAATTGCCCCCTACCTTCATTATTTATAAAACATTGTATCATTTAGTCATAAATTCTATAAAGATGTATGTATTAAACATCTGTAAGATGTAATCTGCCCTTAAGAGCCTAGAAGCTGGCTGGGCTTTTAAAGTATACACAAAAAGCTGGAGGGTGATGGCTGACAACATAAAAATGGTTTTTATTGAATGTTTATTCTGTACCAGGCACTTTCCATGAATTACCTTATTCTCATAAAAACCTTATGAGCAAGTGTGCCAAAGTCTTACTATCCTCATTTTTATAGCTGAGAAAATTGAGACTTAGAGAAATGATTTACTTAAGATCACAGTGCTGGTAAATGAACTCCAAACTGTTTGATGTTAGTATTCTCAATAATTCTGTATGTTATCTTGAGATTATGTAATTAAAAAGTATGCCGATTATGAGGATAAGAAAGGAAAGAGCACCATGAGCTGGAATAGTATAGACAACATTTTGAAGGACTGAGGTGGACCTTGAAAAATGGGCTGATTTGGAAGTCTTTTTGTGATTGGGTGTATCAAGTGGCAGGAGAGTGTGGTGTGGAGTGTTCTAAGTGAGGGAAGCAACTTGCATAGAAATGTGTGCATGTGAGTACATCTGGTGTGAGCCCTAGTGGAAAGGAAGCATTGGGAAGAATGTTTTCTCCTCATTTTCCTTAATTTTGAAGATTTTATTTCTGATGCCAGATACTTTGAAAATGGAGGTTTGATAGTAACAAAGGAAATTATTGGAGGAGGTAAGACTGTTGAGTAGAGAATAGAAATGAAGACAGAAAAGGAAAGCTTGAGGATGGAAAAGGAAGGACAAGCTTTGAAGAGTAAGAAATAAAAAAATTGCAAAATCCTTGACTATTTCAAATACTCCAAGTTATTAACAGTAAATTCTGTTATAGTTTATATAAAGGCCATCTTTTTAGACCCCCTTTGAGTTTACTCTAGGTAGACAAGTACTAAAAAAATAAAGAGCTTATGACTGACATAGTTAGTTTTTCTTCCTATTTCAGGAAATCCTGGATGAAATTTGGTAAAGTGGGTCCAATTGCCTGTGTACTTTACTTTGAAATAAAATCATCAGAAATTTACCTTGCTCAATAATTGTAGTCTGTTCATTTTATTATGGTAAAATATTCTGTACTCAAAATATATCTGAAATGCTTTAAATTGGCCCTTGATGGATATTGAGTAGAGAGAATTTATAAGCAGATACTTCTTTAGAGCTTTTGTTAGTGAACCAGGTATCAATTTAGGTTCAATCAGATAAAATGCTGCAATAGAGAAATCATTCTCACAGTTGATGTTTATGTTCTAGACTTTCTCTGCAGAGATAACATCTTGCTAATAAAACTATGTTCAATCCTAGAGATTGCCAGTGAGAATTTGCATATGCCTCTTCCTTAGAAAAACAAAAACCTCAGTAGTTATAAAATGCACTTGAGAAAACATTAGAAATTTTAAACTGAAAGCACGCATGATGATTCTTAGGAAGTCATTTGTTTGTTGTATTATAGTGGGAGAGGGAAAGCTTCCCTCCTACTCTCTTTGAACCTTTGTGGAAATGACTGACAATAAACAAATTAATAAGAGAAAAAGGGATATGATATGGTTTGGCTCTGTGTCCCCACCCAGATCTCACCTTGCATTGTAATAATCCCCATGCATCAAGGGTGACACCAAGTAGAGATAACTGAATCATGGGGGTGGTTTCCCCTATACTGTCCTCATGATAGTGAGTTCTCAAGAGATCTGATGGTTTTATAAGGGGTTTCCCCCTTGGCTTGTGCACTCATCCTTTTTGCTGCTGCCCTGTGAAGAAGTGCCTTCCACCATGATTGTTAGTTTCCTGAGGCCTCCCCAGCCATGCTGAACTGTGAGTCAATTAAACCTCTTTTCTTTATAAATTACCCAGGCTTGGGTATGTCTTTATTAGCAGTGTGAGAATGGGCTAATACAGAATACAAATATACTTAATGTGCATAAACACAGGAGCCATGTAAAATATGGGACTCAAAGAGGAGCCAGATAGTTGAGGCTTAAATACTCCAGTGGGGAGAGGGAAATGTTGAAGGGGGTGCTGTAGGCAATTTTTAGAGAGATAATACATGACTTTAGGGAAGATGAATGGACCTGGGAGGTAGAAATACTAGCTTGTAAATGATTTTCTTTGTAATTCGAGCCCAACAGGCAGAACAAAATCCCTTCAGGTATGGTTACATGCCTCAGTCTTCTTTCCTGGTACTAAAATTTCAAGGATAGGATGGAAGGCAATTATGTTCTCTTTGGTGGGCCAGGTCTTAAGGCAGCTAAAGGAATATTAGGCGTTAAATTTCACCCTGTTCTAGGGGTGGAGAGAAGGGAGTTCAGGAGAGATTAGAAAATCCTTGATTCTGAGATTATAGGTGTGCTGTGGCTCATGGCTATAATCCCAGCACTTTGGGAGGCTGAGGTGGGAGATCACTTGAGGCCAGGAGTTTGAGACCAGACTGGGTGACAAAGCGAGACTCTGACCTCAAAAGAAAAAAAATAAAGAAGAAAGTCCTTGATTCTGAGGTAATTTATAAGGCCTTCCTATTATGGTTCGAAGCGTTCAGCATGCCAAAACACCATTCATTTTGCAGTGTTGTTTTTTAAGCCCCAACAGTATACACAGTAAATGTGTATGAACATGCTCCTTAATGTATGATGAGATTATATCCTGATAAACTTATTGTAAGTCAAAAATATTGTAAGTTAAAAATGCATTTAATACCTTATAAACCCATTGTAAAGTCAAGAAATTATAACTCAAACTGTTGTAAGTCAGGGACCATCTGTACTTTTTACTTCACAAATTTCAGTAAT